TTTTTTGTCTCCGCATTTTTTATGCTTCCCTATGTTGATAGAGTGGCTTTGTGTTCTAGGTGTCCTATAGGGCCCAGTGGCTCAGCCTCCCCAATTACTTGAGGTGGACACTCTTGGTGCACCCCCATGTGGGCTTTGTGCACAGTGTTGTTGTAGTTAAGCGTTGATTGTTGTAGGTATCACTGGGAGGAATTGACCTCCAGGCCAGTTGGCTGTGAGAATCAGCTGTGTCTGCAGTGGGAGACCTTCTGTGCTGGAGACACCCTTCAGGGGCAATACTTGCTTCAGTATGGCTTTGGTGCTCATTGAGTCTACCCCCTGAGTGTGTCCCTTATGGATCTGAGGAGTTGTAATCTGTATGGTCCCACTCTGACCACCGGGTACACTGGCACTTGGATCTCTAAGGAGGTGCTAATTTAGCCTCTGCCTGAGGCTACCCAGGAGGAGCTATGAAGAGATCTTCAGATTTCTCTTCTTTGTTTGGGGTTTGGAGGTGCCCAGATGAGGTCCACCTGAAGCTTCTGTGTGGCCTTGGGCCTTCTTTTGGAAGTTCTGGGTCTCTCTGACCCAGCTGTAGTTTGTTAGGTAATTTTCAAATTGCAAAGGGCCAGGCCTTTCATATGCAAAAGCCTCTACTCACAGCTTGGGTGGGGCGGGGTCTTAGGGGATCGATAGGGTGGAGCAAGCAGCTATGGCTGCTCCTCAGTCCTACCCTAAGAGACTCCGTGTCTCAGTGTTCCGGTAATCACTGCAAGCTCCTCTGAGAGAAAGCCACCCTCGAGTTCCCACCGATGCCAGACAGTCCAGTTTCTCCCTGTATGAGTCTGGGTCCCCAGAGACTCGTCCGGAACTGGAATTCAGAGCAGTCAGGAGCTTGAGACTCCCTCTCTATTGAAAAAGACAACCGTGTCCTCAGATGCTAGCCCTTTCCACGTGTGCCTCTGTACCTCTGCACTTTACTTCTGCACCTCCTCTGAGTCTCAGTGTGCTTTTCTCTTTCCTTCTAGTTGTAGAATTTCCACTCAGCTGGCCTTCCTGTGCTTCTGGATGATGTCCGTTTTGTCTTTTAGTTGTATTTTTGAAGTGGTTGTGCGAGGCAGCAATTTCCAGTGTTTACCTATGCCGCCATCTTGGTTTCTCTCAGTAATTTTTTAAAAAATTTTTATTGACTAAGTTATTACATATGTGTCTTTATCCCCACGATACCCCCCCATCTCCCCCAGTAATTCTTATTTCTACAAAAAAAAAGGAGTGGAAGGACAGATTATTTCAAATATTCTTTGCTTGCTTGCTTTCAGATCTATTTTTTATCGTTAATTTTTAGGGAGAGTGGAAGAGAGAGGGAAAGACAGAGAAACATTGATGTGAAAGAAACACAATTGATTGGTTGCCTCAACCAGGGCCTGGGCTGGGGAGGAGATTGCAACCGAGGTATGTGCCCTTGACTGGAATCAAACCCGGGACCCTTTGGTCCTCAGGCCAGTGCTCTATTCACCGAACCAAACTGGCTAGTACCAGATCCATTTTTATTGTTCAAAAGCCATCATCAGATGGCATAGAATAGGTGATGCTGCTAACTTGAAGTAAAGATACCTGAACAGTAGATTGATGGTTCTCCAAAAAACCAATCTATCACTGTTGTCAGACACTTGAATACCTTCTGAGAACAGGAAAGACCAATGATATGAGTGTTAGGCATTAACATTCTGTAAAAAGGTATTAAAATAATGAAATGCTTCAGTATTTTATTTGGTTATATTCAGTATAGAAATATCAAATGATTATGATTCTAAGGGTCATGTGATTATCATATACTTTTCTCTTCCACAGATGTTTTTCCACCAAATTCAGCTCATTCCACCTCCAAGAGTCAGTCTGATCTCAACAAGGAAAATCAAAAGCCCATTTGCAAGTCTGACAAATTTGCAGAGGCAGACTCTCATAAGAATTCATCTTTAGTTGAATTAGAAGAAGGAGAAATTATAAGCGACAGTGAAAACTCTAAACTACAAAATAGTTTTGAAGAAATTGCCAAACCTAGAGCTTCTACTGAAGGGCAGAACAGAAAAACTAGTCCAGGAAATAAGAAAAGTACTGTGCATTTGGATAAAGACAAAAGGAAAACATCTATGAAAGTTCAGCAGACCAAAAGGAATTGGAATAAGAGACAGAGTGAATCTAGCAGGTCTTCAAAAACAGAGAAAAAAGATAAGACAATGAGCACCTCCGTTCTGGAAAAAATAGTTCCAATTATTGCTGTACCTTCTTCTGTACCAGAGGTTATGCACATGTTACGAATGATAAGAAAACATGTAAGGAAAAACTACATGAAATTCAAGATTAAATTTCCATTAAAACAATTTCATAGAATTATTGAGTCAGCAATTTTGAGTTTTACATCACTCATTAAACACCTTGACTTATCCAAAATCTCTAAGTCAGTGACTACTTTACAGAAGAATCTTTGTGATGTTATAGAATCCAAACTTAAGCAAGTTAAAAAGAATGGCATAGTAGATAGGTTATTTGAACAACAACTACCAGATATGAAAAAGAAAGCATGGAAATTTGTAGATGAACAACTTGATCATTTATTTGCAAAGCTTAAGAAAATCTTAATAAAGTTTTGTGGTTTCACAAACTTTGGCAGTGACAGCGATGAAGGGAAATTGGACAAAAGTAAAGAAAAACTACAATATTCAAATTGTCAGAAGGAGAATATGGTCAACTCCAGGAAAGAAATGCTGAAAGAGAAATCTTCAAAATCAGAAGATTCTATTTACTCCAGGTATTCACTAGGATCTAAAAAATCTGAGGATAAACATCAAGACCAAAATAACTCTCAAATTAACACATTAAAGAATGACATTAAAAAAAGCTTTAACACTTGCTTTGATAATAATATTAAATGCCTTCAATCTGAAGAGCACTCCTTGGAACTGAACTGTCCGAGCACCCCAAAGCCAGGAAAAATGGAAGGCACCACCATAGAGGATACACAGACATCCCAGCATGCAGCTTTAAAGCCAGAACGCTGTTTTGAGATTCTTACTGAACAGCAAGCATCTAGCCTCACTTTTAATTTAGTGAGTGATGCACAGATGGGTGAGATATTTAAAAGTTTGTTGCAAGGTTCTGATCTTTTGGAAAACAGTGTTAACTGTAATGAAAAAAGTGAGTGGGAGTTAAAGACTCCAGAGAAACAGCTGTTAGAGAGTCTTAAGTGTGAATCTATACCAGCTTGTACAACAGAAGAGCTAGTTTCAGGGGTGGTTTCTCCATGTCCTAAAATGATTAGTGATGATAATTGGTCATTATTATCATCTGAGAAAGGCCCATCTCTGTCTTCAGGGCTTTCGTTGCCAGTTCATCCTGATGTGTTGGATGAAAGTTGTATGTTTGAAGTGTCCACTAACATAGCTTTAAGTAAAGATAATGTATGCAGTTCAGAAAGGAGCAAGCCCTGCATTTCTTCCATCCTGCTTGAAGATTTAGCAGTATCTTTAACAGTACCATCACCTCTGAAGTCAGATGGTCATCTCAGTTTTTTAAAGCCTGAAGTTTTGTCTAGTTCTACTCCTGAGGAGGTTATTAGTGCCCATTTTAGTGAAGACGCCTTACTTGAGGAAGAGGATGCATCGGAACAAGATATTCACTTAGCTCTGGAGTCTGATAATTCGAGCAGTAAATCAAGTTGTTCTTCATCATGGACAAGCCGGTCTGTTGCTCCAGGCTTTCAGTACCACCCCAATCTACCCATGCATGCTGTCATAATGGAAAAGTCCAATGATCATTTCATTGTGAAAATACGGCATGCAGCACCACCTACTCCCTCCAGTCTTCTACAGAATATGGTGGCTGGTGAGTCAGTGACATCTTTGCCCAGAGTGGGAAAGGAAACTGATGAAGCAGCAGAGAAGGAATGTATTTCATGTCAGAACACAGTTTTTAAATCTGTGGAAGAATTGAAACATTCCAACGAAAATGTTGATAGCAGTAAATCAGCTCACGAAGAACAGGGCTGTATGATACAAACACAGGTTCCTGATATATATGAATTCCTTAAAGATGCTTCTGGTAAAGTGGATCATAGTAATGAAGTGGCTGATCAGTGCTTCAAGTTGCATCAAGTATGGGAACCAAAAGTGCCTGAAAGCATTGCAGGATTGCCTGCCATGGAAGAAATTCCACATTCTGTCGAGGGCCATCTTCCAAACACATATATAGACCTCACGAAAGATCCAGTCACTGAGACTAAAAACTTGGGGGAATTCATAGAAGTAGGAGTTTTAAACATTAATCAGTTGGGATGTTCTGGTAGCAATTTGGATCAAAGTGCTCAGATATTAGACAGTGTGCAGCCTGATACTGTAGATGCTTTTATTGATTTGACGCAAGGTGTTTCAAATGAGAGTAAAAGTGAAGATAACCATCCTGCTTTAGCTGTTGGACACTTGGGGTGTGAGGTGTTTTGTGTAGATGAAGGTAACTGTAAGGAAAAAAAGGCGCAAGTGGCAAATGAATCTTTGGAATGCATGGTTGTGGAAAGCTGTATTGATTTGACCTCAGACTCTCCCAGTTCATGTGAAATAAAAAAGGATGATTTAAAATCGGAACTGGAATCAAATTCTGATAATTTAGAGTTGCCTGTGGCTTTGGATAATGCTCACAAAAAGAGGAAAAAACTTTCTAATCTAAATCATTCTTGTCAGAAAAAACAGAGAAAGGAAACAGACTTAATCAGTAAGGAAAGGACCAAGAAAATTACCCAAAATTCTGGTGAGAATGGAGAAGCTCACCAAAAGAAAGCCAGTAAGAAAAAGGCCCCTACAGTGATGAAAGATCCCTCATCATTAAAGGCAAGCCCCAGGATTAAGGACCACCCATCAGCAGCATCTGGCACTTCTGTAAACCTTTCTGCAAAGAATATTATTAAAAAGAAAGGGGAAATTGTAGTTTCATGGACAAGGTAAGGATCTTATGAGACATTTTTTAATTTTTTTAATATGGAAGGCTTCATGAATTTGCATGTCGCCCTAGCACAGGGGCCATGCTAATTTTCTCTGTATTCCAATTTTAGTGTATGTGCTGCCAAATCAAGCACTTATGAGACATTTAAATCAACAGGAAACTTTGAGAAGCCAGAAATCTATACTGTCATGTCATAGTTATATCCCATCCTAAAATAAGGAAAGTGATGACTTCAAAAGTAGTCAAAGTTAATAGAGAATACATTCTAGGGCAGCCGTGGGCAAACTACGGCCCGCGGGCCGGATCCAGCTTGTTTGAAATGAATAAAACTATTGAAAAAAAAGACCGTACCCTTTTATGTAATGATCTTTACTTTGAATTTATATTAGTTCACACAAACACTCCGTCCATGCTTTTGTTCCAGCCCTCCGGTCCAGTTTAAGAACCCATTGTGGCCCTCGAGTCAAAAAGTTTGCCCACCCCTGTTCTAGGGTATAATTTATAGCAGTAGCTCTTAAGCAGGGATGTGCATTAGCACCATGGATAGAACTTTTCATTGTGTTTTGACCTAACTGTTAATTTAAAAAAATGATTCTTTGTAAAGAACTGGTATCACATTTTAGAAAGGAAGAATGATGAGTGGGGTGGTGAAATAGAGCAAAAAGTGTGAGCATTTATAATTTGAGCATTTCCCTAAATTCAGAGTTTCGAAAAAGTTTATAAACAGATTGTACTTTTGACTTCTATATGAACTGTTTGAGAAATGCTGATTTCAAGACCCCATTTCAGACATAAGGGTAGCCACAGCTGTAAACCATTGCACTAGAGCAGGGGTGGGGAACGTCCGGCCCATGGGCCGTATAAGGTCTGTGAAATCATTTGGTCTGTCCCTGCCAAGGCATTAGGGGCAAGTTAATTAAGTGTTTGACCAAATATAGCAGGCTAATTTTTAAGTGGATAATTTTGTATGGCCCATGAATGATGTTTATAAATATCCAAATAGCCTTTGGCAGAAAAAAGTTCCCCACCCCTGCACTAGAGGTTCACGATCTGCAGGCTTAACTGGAGTGCATAATGAGGGAAGCTGAATTTTGAAATTGGTCATTATTTTATTTAATACCATAGTCATCTATGCCTTAATTTCTGGTAACTTGGAGATGACACAGTAAAATCTTAGAGATTGTAATAATACATATTGGTTCTGCCCATGTACAAAAAGCAGAGGCCTGGGAATTGGAAGATTTGGATTCTATTTTACTTTCGTTCTTTTGCTTATTAAGTCTGTCGTCATGTTTGACCCTAATTTTTCAGGTACTGTATACATTAAAGGTAGAATTTTAAAAAATCTATCCTTTTGTCATTAGAATAATAAATGAGTATGTTAGTTTTAGAAAATTTTGGAAATATGTATGTGCTTACAGATTATTGTCAATGTTTTGATATACACACTTTTTCTTCTATGGGTTTTAATAAAAATGTCACCTCCTATTGATGGACATTAAGACAGTGGAATTTTTGATACCTTTCTGCTTTAATCTACAAAAGCTAAATAACGTTTTCTCCCTGTAGAAATGATGACCGGGAAATTTTATTGGAGTGTCAGAAAAGCGGGCCATCAATAGAAACATTTTCTTATGTAGCTGCCAAGTTGAATAAAAATTCATCTCAGGTAACTTCCCAATTTTTACATCTCTATAGTTTCACAGATGTTACTACTTAAATACTTAGATTTCATTTTAACATTTAAAATATGTAGATACTTATTGGCCAACTTCTTTAAAAGTATGGCTTTTTATGTTGGACTGTTAAAAACTTGGTGATTGTGGAAGAACAATCCTAATTTATTTTTCTGTTGTCTTACATTTACTTATTTTGATCTTAAACAATTTTGTAATGTTTATTGTTTAAGAAAGTTTAATATTGATTCTTGAATTGGGGTAGTGAACACACAGTATGATACACAGATGATATATAATAGAATTGTACACCTGAAACCTATATAATTTTATTAATATCACCCAATAAATTGAATTTTAAAAAGAAAGATTAATATTGAAAGTTAAACTAGCAGTCACCTTTAGTATGAAGATATTTTATTTTTCCAGACATTACTTCATCTCTTTATTATTGACAGTAACTTTCTTTAGATGTTTTGTGGAAGTAGTCATAAAAAAAGATCTCATTGTAATACTTATAATTAATACTCATTTTTTACTTTTCAGGTCTCAGAAAGATTCCAGCAACTATTGAAGCTCTTTGAAAAGTCAAAATGCAGGTAGTTAATGGTTATACTACAGAAGATTAGTAAAATAAATGTTTGATACTGTAACTCTGCAGTTAATGGCCTTTAGTCATCAAAGATGTGAGTAGTGGGGTCCTGCTTCAGTCAGAGGCTGGAGGATGATTGCTTGTGCAGGCTTCTAAGGTCACCAAACCCACAGGATGTGCTCAGAGTTGCATTTCAGATCAGCATGGCATTCCTCCTTAACCTTCCAACTGCTGATGAGTCTAAAGTGGGAGGGAATCCATTTGATTAATAAAAATTTTTAATATTTTAAAATATAAAACATATACTTGGAATCCATTGTCATCCGAATAGATGACATGATTTACTATGTTAAATTATTAATAATGTTCACAGACCTGTTTCCTCAGTCCCGTCCCCCGCCCTCAGTTTTTTTTAAAGCCATTTTTATACAGGTTTATTAAGGCAACAATGTTTTTCAGCAGGATTTTCCTGTAAGACCTGAGTCAGCTGCTTAAATATTTGGACTTTATAGAAGAAAAATTATAAAGATATTTAAGATACCATTTTTCAGTTGATTTGTAGTCATGATTATTTAAATGCAAAACACCCAATTTTAAATTAAATTAAGTTCAGATTAGATTAAATCAGAATAGAAACCATATTTGGCCATAGACCTTAATGTGAAAGGTTCTCAGTATATTTGAGTTATAAATCTGTTTCTAGACCTGATGTAAATTACTGTCTTTAGAAACTGATAATTTCTCTCAAAGCAACTAGTTTGCTATTGGGATCTTCAGAAGATGTTTAGTAGTTTATTGTGAAGTTAAAATTATATTTATATAATTCAGAATGTGAGATTTAATAATGGGGAATTTGAAGGAAGAGCTTGTTCTAAAGAACCTTTAAAAATAGTTTAAGGCAGTGATGGCGAACCTTTTGAGCTCGGCATGTCAGCATTTTGAAAAACCCTAACTTAGCTCTGGTGCCGTGTCACATACAGAAATTTTTTGATATTTGCAACCATAGTATAAAAAATATTTATATTTTTGATATTTATTTTATATATTTAAATGCCATTTAACAAAGAAAAATCAACCAGAAAAATGAGTTCGTGTGTCATAGGTTCGCCATCACTGGTTTAAGGTGACAATGACCTGGTTATTTTTCAGATTTACTGTGCTTTAAAATTTTCACCACCTTTAAGAAATTAAATTGAGTTTTTTGTTTTACCTGAATATTTTCTTAAAATATGACTTCTGTTCTCTTGAGAAAATAATGTACATTTATGGAAGAATTAACTTGTATCTGGAAGTGATGCTAATAATTTGAAATTTCCAAATTCCATTGTAAATCTTTTATTGGATTTGATACTTGAGATTTTATTTGCTTGCATGATAGCATAATGTGTTGCTTCATTCCTAGTTTGTCTTTTTTTTTTTAAAATATATTTTATTGATTTTTTACAGAGAGGAAGGGAGAGAGAGAGTTAGAAACATCGATCAGCTGCCTCCTGCACATCCCCTATTGGGGATGTGCCCGCAACCCAGGTACATGCCCTTGACCAGAATCGAACCTGGGACCTTTCAGTCCGCAAGCCGACGCTCTATCCACTGAGCCAAACCGGTTTCAGCCCTAGTTTGTCTCTTAACTGATTTTTCCCTCCAAGTACTATAGTCTCATTAAATTCTTTTCAAAATCAGAGTATAATGATAAGGTTTCCAAACTGATTCTGTAAAAAGCTAGTTTTAAACATCAGAATTATCTAAGTAGAACTCATTTAAAAGAACAACACTTATGAAATGGTCATATCATAAGAATAGAATCATAACTTTAGGTTTTTCTTACAGATAGTTGCTGAATTCCTTGGAGCCTCAATTGATACTGCATACTACACAGAAGCTTGGAATTCCTCATGTTTTAAATGGGGATGTAGAGGGCAGTTTTATGACATGGATTACTAGATTATCTACATTTGTTATTAATTGCTGACTCTTTACTCTCAAGTCAGCTTGTTCCAGTCATCAATATGATTTGCTTATCTCTTATTAGTCAAGAAACTTATTTTTAAACAGGTTACAATTTGTTATTAAGATAAAAGCAACAACAATATAATATTGAAACCTTAATTTTGATATTTCAAAGAAATGAGTTTCTTTTCTAGATTTTTAAAAATAGTTTTGTAGCATTTTTAAATTAACCATTAATTAGTTTGTTTTCATATATTTTTATTTGCTTTTCTAATGACCTCTCATTTTGGTAAATTGTAAAGTAATTTAAATAGTGTATCTGTAAATATGTATACTTGAAATGATGTAAAATACTTTGTGTGTGTGTATCTGTGTTTGTGTGTATATACACTTAAAAGGCTTTGCCTAGCCAAGGAATTTTTTTTTATCTGTATAAAATTTTTGTACAAAGGTTGCTTTCAATACCAGTAATGTATAAATAAAACCATGTAAAGTTCTGTTATATTTTGATTAGAATGTTGTTTTTTAAATGTGTTTAAAAGGAAAAAAAGGTAAAACTCACGGTGGACATGGGAGGCTATTGTGAAGTTGTTTTGGTGATGTTGCAGATGGCTGAATGTCTGTGCATGGATTAATTGGAGAAAACCAGTTGCCTTTGCCTGCTTTCTCACAGCAGGTACTAGCAGACTGAAGCAGACCTCTGGACAGGTATCCTCAGCTAAAATCAGGGCAGTACAGCAGCTCTTGGGAGTCAAGATTTGGGGAAAGCAGGTAAGGATTGACTAGATTGTGCATTATTTGTTCGCTCTTCCCCCTCCAGATTCATAGGACTGTGGGTCATTATCTAGGCTCAAGACTCTGGAAGTGCCTTAGGAAATTGCCATTTCTCCTATGGTGTGAAGGGGAAACCCTGCTTGG